CGGCGTGAGTTTTAAGCCACCGGGTCCGGGACACGAACTGCGGTCGACTACGTGGGAGTCCAGCGACATAGCCATTACGCTAACTGCTCGTTCCCAGAAGAAGACGTTTTTAATGTATGGACTCTCATAAACACTTGAACACAAGATAGAGACCTGAAGAGCTGGGTTGAAGTTGGGAGATGTGGGTTTTATCTTATTTTTAAAAATTTTTTCTTATTTATTTATTTTTGAAGAGGTTTTTGCTATAGGACACGTGCGCTTGCCAGACAGACAGAGAGACAGAGAGATAGAAAGCGAGAAATCACTCCCCAGGGGGGATGGCCACTCCACAATCCCTTCTCCTCCATTCTCCTCTCAGGATCTTGGGCATGCACGCACACATGCCTGGCATGAGTTTAAGCCACCGGGTCTGGGACTCTAACTGCAGTCGAGTACGTGGGAGTCCAGCGACATAGTCATTACACTTAACTGCTGGTCCCAGTTTCATCTTATTTTTTAACATGTGCTATTGAGTAATCTTTATTTCCCAATCTGTAAAATTAGAGTGCCTCCCTGCCCTTTTCACGTCTTGTGTGTGCACCAAGGTGTTGAGGTGTTGTTGAGAATCAAAAGAAGTACAAGTTGGAAAGATTTGCGAGTTGTAAAACAACACGAACAAAATGATGTGAGAAGAAAGCCACATTTCAGTCTCTGACCTGTTTGCCACCCTACTCTGCAGTAGTGAAAAGGAAAGTTTTCTTTTGGGAATTTGTTCTATAAATCATGTCCCATGTCCTTTTCTACCTCTCCAGGGGGGATGGCCACTCCACAATCCCTTCTCCTCCATTCTCCTCTCAGGATCTTGGGCATGCACGCACACATGCCTGGCATGAGTTTAAGCCACCGGGTCTGGGACTCTAACTGCAGTCGAGTACGTGGGAGTCCAGCGACATAGTCATTACACTTAACTGCTGGTCCCAGTTTCATCTTATTTTTTAACATGTGCTATTGAGTAATCTTTATTTCCCAATCTGTAAAATTAGAGTGCCTCCCTGCCCTTTTCACGTCTTGTGTGTGCACCAAGGTGTTGAGGTGTTGTTGAGAATCAAAAGAAGTACAAGTTGGAAAGATTTGCGAGTTGTAAAACAACACGAACAAAATGATGTGAGAAGAAAGCCACATTTCAGTCTCTGACCTGTTTGCCACCCTACTCTGCAGTAGTGAAAAGGAAAGTTTTCTTTTGGGAATTTGTTCTATAAATCATGTCCCATGTCCTTTTCTACCTCTCCTGTGGTTCCTACCCACAGCTTAATCTTTCTATGAGGAAAAGGATTCCCTGGCACAGATGACAAAGCCAAGCAGCACTGGCAGCTATGAATTGTAGCATGTGAGCTGCACACTGCAGGTTTAAGTGCACTCATGTACTTTGGCTGCAAGGCCACTACTAGCAAAGATGTGTTTTCAAGAGCCCATCTCAGCATGAGTCTACATTTAACTTACTAGTTTCATTGAGATGTTTCCTTGTTCCCTACTGTCACTTCAGAAGAGGAAGGCCATTTCTATATTTGGCTTTAAGTTCTCTCCCTCCCTCCTTACCAATTGCTGATGAAAAAGGCACTCATGCTATAGCTTAATATCTTACCAGAAACCATGATCATTTCAGTTTTCTCACCATCTTGCTCTCTCCCTTGTCCACTTATGTAGGTTACTCTTCATACTGTATTAATAATAGACATTCTGAGGGACCAGCATGTGGTGTGGTGATTAAGGGTGCTGGACTTCCACATGGCTGACCGTGGTTCGAGTCCTGGACCTAGTGGCTTTCTTTCTCTCTCTCTCTCACCCTGTCCCTCTCTGGTCAAATCAAAAAATAAATGAATCAACTAATTAAATAAATAAAGTTAAGTAAAATAATTCTTTTTAAAAAATGGACATTCTGTTTTTCTGTGTCTGCCTGAGAGTGGAGAGGGGTTCTGGCCCTCACCTATTCTTGTTATCACCCCCCACACACACACCTTTTGTTTTGGAGATAAAACAAAGTGGGGAGTTTATTGAAGGGGAGGGAAGGAAAAACAGAGCTCCCAAGAAAGGAGGGGGCCCCATAAAATGGGTTGCCAAGGAAGGACTGAGGTGAGGGGTCTTTATTTTGGTCAGGAAGGGCTTTGTTCAGACTTGTTCTAGGTGGGGCTTGTGCATGGATTCCCTTTGTGCTGTCACCCCTTTTTGTCTTATTTATATGAAGTTCTAAGCCTTTTGACCTTTCCATAACCTTGGTGCCAAGGTTGGATCTTTCTTTTTATTTTTCCCCTATAGCAACTGCCTATGAAAAAGTTCCGATATTGTTTTCAAAGTATGGATGATTTCATGTAAATCAGTATATTATGTACAACTTATTTATCTACCAGCCTTATTTTTTCCAGAGCCCAACTAAAAACTAAGAGGGAAGCAAAGTGTTGTTACCCTTGCATGGTGCTAATTTATTCTTATTTTTATGTGTTGTAACAAGTTTAGCGATTTGCTTTCTAACCTCCCATAAGATTAAAAGCAGCATGTAAAAAAGGGGAGAAGAGCTGCTGTATTAATAGTAGCTAGAAGTAAGAGAACTGAAAGCTAACAGGGAGGAGGGGTAAAAGAATAATGATAGGTAGAAGTTAAAACAATGGCCAGAATGTAATTTAATTTAAGGGGAATAGTCTTACAGACGTCTTTGTGCTTTAAGAAGGTGAGGATATGGATAGGTAGTTTCTTTTCTTTTCAAGAATTATTTTATTTAACTCTATTTATTTATCTTAATTTGACCAGAGAGCGAGAAAGAGAGAGAGGGAAAGTAAGAAAGCAAGCTGCCAGGGCTAGGACTCGAATTGCATTCGGCCACAGGGGAGTGCAGTGTCCTTAACCACCATGCCACCTGCTGGCTCTGATGGCTAGGTAATTTCTAAGGAAGTTCTAAGTTCATCTTAAAGGCCAGATGTATCAGAAAAATGTTTGTTTATAGTGTATGCTGTATTTTCAGGCACTATACCAAATGTTTCACATAAACTTATTTCACTTTCATAACAACATGGGAGGTCCGTGGTGATATTATTTTATAAATTCCTGGGAAAGGGGGAGGAGACAGATAGGCAGTGATTAGAAGAGCTAAGCTTAGAACCCAAAAGAATATCGCTCCAAGAGTCAAGCTTTCTCCATTTCCTACATTGGCTCTTTCCTCATGACTTAAAACCCTGGTCTTTCTCAGCCCCTCAAGTCAGTAGTTTTTTCCCTTTTTAATTTATTTTCCTACATATTTCTCTTTTTAAAGACATTTATTCATTGAGCAAGTATTTAATGAGTGTTGTGTACCAGGCACAATTTCAAGTGTTTGAGATGTAGCAGTGAATAAAATAGTGTTTTGGGGTTTTTTTTTTGTATTATCATTTACATTCTAATGAAAGAAAGCAGATAAACACGAAACATGTTAATAAATATGAGGAAAACTACAGCAAGATAAGGAAATAGGTACTGGATCATCTAAGGTTTCTCTGAGAAAACAAAATCTGTGCAGAAATATCCAGGAACTAAAGTAGTGAACTATATATATTATCTTGAGGAATAACATTCTAGAAATATTGTTCAGAA